TCTCATCCTCTTATCTCTCCCTCTCGCCTCAGGCGATGAAAGAAAATGTTTTTCTCCCTGAATCTGGCCTTCATAATTCCATTCCATCACAGGAAAGGAGATAAGCCAACTTGCTGATTTTTGAAATAAAAGGTTCTGTGGGTAGAAGCAGACTGGTGGGGTTGGAGCACCTCCTACCACCTAACCAATTCACATAATGCGCTAAGCCACACTTTGTTGAAGCCAACACAACTGGGTAGATTCACAAGGCAGAACTGTTGGGTTTTCACAACACCTTGAGCCAAATCCAAACAAATCAAATGATGGCTTTGCATGATGCATGAACATCTCAGAGGTCATTCTGCCTTTGGAAGGACTCATTCAGACATTTAACTCTGGCTCACCAACTTCAGCAAGCGCGGTTTCTCCATGGAGTGCCAGACATGCAAGATCTCTTCCTCCTCATCAGATGGGGATATATCAAAGACAACAGAATTGTCATACCACTCTTTACACATATCCCTGGGGGGAGAAAGTAACAATTAGACAGAACCAGGAAATAAATCCTCCCATCTCATCACCATCCAGATATCTTACTCACCTGACTTGCTGGAAACTGTCAGCACCAGGCTGAAGAATCAGCAAGGTTTCATTACTCAGCCCACAGACTGAAGGGCCCAGAGGCCAGAGTGTCCCCATGCACAGCACAGAGTTTCCTTTTGTTCGCCACAAGGTTTTCCTACACATCAAGCTAAGCAAGAGGGAAAAGAGAAGAGAGTCAAGTAGATCTAGACGGGTTGTGGAAGTGTAGCTAATGGGTGAAGAATAGGCTTGAAAGACTCGACGAACAGCAAGAACCAACTATTATAGGCAGACTCTTGAATCAGCTGGGCAGGAGATCTGCCCAGCAAGATCAAACCAAGGGTCTGTCCAGTTCGCCCTTTCTCAATTTAGCACCTTCAAAATGTTTTGGGGGTTGCCCACCTGACCTTGTCTTTGACAGTCCCAGAGTGCCACAGTGGGAAAACTGAGCTCATCAAATGTTCCACTTGGGGCAAGTTCAAGTAAGCCACAAAAATGGTCAGTCTTGCTTGGTCATTTGTATCCACAACCAGGTGCTTCTAACTCTTGACTGTCTACCTGACTGTCCACTGCTCCTCTGGCATTAAGATCTTGTGGCAGTGAATTCCACAAGACCTTGTGCAAGACCTTTTCTTCTCGTGTTTTGAATCTACCTGCTTCATGTCAAAGAGCCTTCTACAAGACCTCGGAGAAGCTTTCTGTTTCTCATGGCAGCTGCTGCTGGGGTTAGGCTCACTTCAGACAGACTCCAAGGAGTGACTCTCATATAAATCCAGGAGAAAAAGGGGCGGGCAGTCTTCTCCATGACACTTTGCCTGCTCTTACCTAACTGCTCTGACATTATGTCTGCTGTCACTTATATCCCAAAGGCTGATCCCATCACAAGCCACAAGGATTGTATGTGAAGAAGGGAAGGTGAGGGCACTGATGCACTGGAGGCCAACCTGGAAGTTGATTAAAAAAATAAATAACAGACATCAACTGAAAGCAGGCACTTAATCAATCTTTGTTCTCTGTTTGCAGCTCCTTTCCCAGTTCCCAAAAGGCGCTATCCCCAAGGCCCAAATACATTTGAGGACACACATGCAGAATGTTTGCCCTACCTTTGCTGTCCCCAAAGCCTCTCCTCCTTGCCAGACAATCAAGTCACCATGTTCCCCACCGGAAACAGCCAAGTTCCCATCTGGTGACCAAGCCACAGCTGTGACAGCACCCTGGTGAGGAGGCAGATTTTCAGTATCGATTGCTGTGGAGAAGGGAAACAAACATCTTAGCAAGTAAATTAGAAGCAGGGTGACAATTTACCACTACAGTCAGTGCTGGATGACTGAAATCAGATGCAGGAGAGAAGGGGTAAAGTGTGCTGGCAGTGCTCTAGGTCCGGGAGTAGAACTTGGGAGGAGTGTGGTCAATTGCAACTTTTCCCATCTGACATTTTCCAGCTCCGCAGGGGCAGAGTTCTAAGATTATGCCAAAATCTGCCTTGCAATGTCTCTGAAGGTCCTCCCCACTGCCCCTGAATGAGGCTTCTGTTTTTTCTCCTTATTTTCAGGGTCCTTGAGAATTTCTTTCAAATTTCTTTTTGAAGTATTGTTGGAGGGGGGAGTAGGTATTACTGCTGGCTTGCTTGTTTTCCATCATGCTTTGTGGTCATGCCTGCTGGGAACTGAAGTCCACACAAAGATGCCAAGGTTGGGAAACCCTGCTTGTAGTCGGGTGCTGCTTCAGCACAGCTCTGCTTCTATTTCTTGTTCTTGTTCAATCCACAAGTCCAGAAAGGGCACGGGGCTTCTAGGGGACCCACCTACTCACCATCATCCTTAGGAACTGCCCATATACGGGCTGTCTTGTCTTTGGAGATTGTCAAGAAAGACGATGAGGTAGCAGTACCCGCACAGACAGAAGCAGAGTGTCCAAACAGGACTTGGGGTTGCTCGAGCTGCAAATAACCAGAAAAGGGTTAATGAAAGACAGGGGGTTGAAGACATATGTGGTGTCTGTATTTCCAGACTGAATTAAATCTGTCCTCTTGCATGATCACTCTTTTGAAGGTGAAAAAAAGCTGTATGGGGGAAAAATAAATAAATCTTTATGTATTTGTTTTATTTAAAAGAGTTATATGGTCACTCATCTTACGTAACATGACTTTGGGGGGCTCACAACAATAATAAAAACCAAAGCACCATTAAAACCCAACTCCGGCACCTCAACCAACATTCTCTAATGCATCCAACGATACAACTCCCAGGCTCCAACTTCATCCTATCTCAAAGTTTGGGAGAGTTTACCCTTCATGCAACAACCAGAGTTCTCTAAGGAGATTTCAAAGGGATTGAAACCAACAAAAATTTTAAGTTGTAGAGGAAATGTTATTTATTTATTCAATTTGTATGGCTGCCCATTTCATGACAGCAGCTCTGGGCATCGTACAAGGTTAAAAACAATGTTTTAAATAATACAAATTGTAACATCCGAGTCACAAAACCACGACTCCAACTTAGAAGAAAACATTAACGGGTAGAGCTTGCTTAACCTCCTGACCTAAATGCCTGAGGGAACATCTCTAATGCCTTGTGGGTTGGGGTCATCTGGATCTCTGGGGGGATGCTGTTCCACAGAGGAGATGCTGGCATAGCGAAGGGATGATTGCTGGGTCCAACAAGATGACGTTGTTTAATGGAAGGGCCACAGGAACCATGATCTCAACTGGAAGCACACCTGGATCAGGGTATCTTAACTACAGAGACTCATCTGGTTAGACCACTGCAGCACGCTCTGCATGGGGCTGCCTTTGAAGACTACTCAGAAGCTTCAACAGGTCCAAAGTGCAGAGGTAGCAGACTGAGTCATGTTATATCTAAGCTACAACTGCTGCACTTGCTACCAGTTTATTTCTGCATCCAAAGCCCTACATGGCTACAGGAACATCTACCTTGTCAAGACTTTCTCCCCATCCCACACATTCTTGCAGGGAGGGACTACTAAGGTTCCCCCACCCCTTCACCCTTGCGAAGTCAAGGGAGGGTGAGCTGCAATGACCTATCTTTCCTGGAGCTGCCACACATGATGGAAGTACTTGCTTCCTGGCCTTTTGCAAATTGCTTACAACTGGGTTTTTCTACTGAGTGTCTGGGCTTCATGGTGTGTGGATTGCCTTTTAGTTACTTAATGCTTTGCTCCTGGTTTTAGTACACATATCCCCTTGTTTTTGTGAAGTGCCTTGAATGCCATGGGGATGGGTAGTGTATAAGGCTCTGTAATAAATAAATAAAAAGCTTGTTTTATTGTGGGTCCTTAAAAAAAAGAAGATCCACCTCCCTTCTTACCGTCAAAGGTCTCCAAATTTTCACAGTGCCATCAGCACCAGCTGCACACAACATAAAGTCTTTCTCCCCTGCCAAAGAAAAAATGGAATGCTTTTGTATCAACTCCACAGTGAGTAACTGATGGGAAAGGGACATCCAAATTTTATTAATCACTCTAAATAGGATGAAGTTTCCTGTTTAATGATACCGCCCCATTTCCTTTTAGACCTCAACTGGGACCCATTCACTGCAAGATTCCTGCAAATCACTTCACCAAACAACTCCAAATTCCTCCCCCAGATAATTAAGTTAAGCATCAGAGAATCTCTACTGGGACTAATATTCCAGATGGTCAGAACCTGCAATATTAGGGATATATGCCTAAGGTTGTGGAAAAGCTGCTTCCAAGACTTTTCATTTGCTACCAAGGGGAAAACCCCCAGAAATATTCTACTGTTCAAATTTAAATTGACTACTAGGAAGGAGCATGTGATCAGTTTCCTTATTAGGAATGTTTATAAATAAATAGCCAGATTTTATTCTATGGGGTTCGAACCTTCTCTTGGGAACTGAACTCATGGACCTTTACACTTTAGATGATGGTATGAAATGCATTAGCTTTAGAAGCTATACACTCCTGGTGCTAGTGGTGTTGCAAGAATGGATATATAGAATCTATCAGAATGGTATAGTCAGACCTTGCTTAACAACTGCCTTGTTTTAGTGACCATTAGAAGTTACAATGGTTAAAAAAACAATTTAGCAACCAATCCTCGCATTTATGACTGTTGCAACATTCTACAGTCATGTGATCGCCATTTGTGTGCTTCCCAACTGGCTTGCGACAAGCAAGAGTTAATTGAGAACACAGAAGTAAAATTGTAAGTTGCGGTCATGTGATGTTTCACTTATTGACTGTGGAGATTCACTTAATGACCGAAGCAGAAGTGAGGTCATAAGCCAGTCAGGTTCACATGATTTCCCGCTTAGCAAACACGGTGCTTAGTGATGGAGTTGCCGGTCCCAATTGTGGTCACTAAGCAAGGACTACCTGTATAGCCACTCCACCTTCCCTTAAGCTGTCAGAGAGGGAGTTATTACAGGTATTACATTAAGTCATGATTCCATGCATGAAGTTTGACATGACTTCCAACCCCCACCTCTTGGAGTACTGTACTCTGTATACTATGTAAAAACAGAGGTATTTCCCCCTCCCCCAACAGATTGTATATATCCTTTCCTGCAACTGGGAGTATGACATAATATGTATATGTATGTGTCTGTCTGTCTGTCTATCTCAGGGCTTAAGGGAAGGTAGCCTGTCCAAATTTAAGTACATTTTAATGTAAATCTTCACAAACTGAAGCATCTGCATCAGAATTAAATCCTGATATAAAAATATACACAACCAGAGATTTGCATTACATGATAAATAATGCAGATAGGAATTTCACATTCCTATCTTCCAGATTTCCAAAACAGTGTAACACTTTTGAAAAACAGTGCCAAGAAATCTCTTACATGGATCCCTGAAACCAGTGCAATGGTTGGTCTGGCTTGGGTGAGCCAAGAACCGAGTTTCTTCCACTCCCTTGAGATTCCATGTTATTAGCAGCCCATCCCTGCCCACGGAGATGACATGATCTTTCTGTACAAGGATTCAGAAAGGGAAGAGTTCAGAGGAATGAAACAAGAAGGATGGGCAGGCATAGTTACAGTCATGATATGTGTAGCAATTGCTGTACAGAATGACTGGGAACATCAGAGTCTGGCTGCAAACACAGCAGATTTTCCAAATCTGGTCCTCTCCAGAGCTGTGCAGAATCACAATTCTCAGAAGGCCCAACCAGGATACTGGCTGAGGATTCTGAGAACAGATGTCCCACATTCCAACCCCTTTAGAAAGTACTGTACCATCTAAGGGAAAGCTGGGAGTGGATAGCTAAGAGGAGGAAGAGAAGCAATAGACTAATATGAATCTGCCAGGAATCAGCCACAGTAATAGTAGGAGTAATAATTGTACCAATACTACTAGTAATGGTGGAAACGATAATAGTAGTATACTAGTTAACAGCAATAATAATACTACTTTCTGCACATTCAATTCACCCCATCCAAAATGATGCAAAATTCTTATAGTCTTTGGAAGATGCTTTTGGTTAAGCTAGATACCACTTAACATGTGTCTTTGTCTTTCACCTGGAACTGTGCAGGTTATGCATATAGCAAATCCACATGCAAACAGCAATTTCAGAGCATCTGTCCTTAAAGATTAAAGCATCAGGTTAAACATTTATATCCCTACCTCTATGTTTGCTTCAAGTCTTCTCCAAGACATGATTCATTTCATTTTCTAAACAACACACCCTTAAATGCAAAGATGTTTTCTGGCACACCCCCATTCACCAAGACAGAGTTCTAGAAGCCCACACAACGTTGTGACCTCAAAACTGGTGTTTTGAATTTGAAAGGGGCTGTTCCAACTTCACAGGAAGTGTTCCGATGCTGCTCCTAACTGGATCGTGTCAAGCTCAGGACAACTTCTCTGAGATCAAAAGAGCGTTGGATCATTTCTGGAGGTATCAGAATGGCCTTTTTCAAACCCAAAACAGTGGTTTCAAATTCTAAACGCTTTGCACATCTTTAGAGTTCCCAGTGGGTTCCTTTCCCACTTCAAACTCCCTCACTTTGTTTTGTAGAATGACCCAAATGCTTTTGTTTGAAGAAGAAGAAAAAAGGGGGGGGGAGACTAATTTAGGAAAGAATTACCCTTTGGAAAAAAAAATTCCATCCTCGGCCTAACCCCTTACCTCACTTGTGACACCACAGATTGGACTTTGGTGGCCCAGGAATTCCTGGACACACTCACTAGTTGTGGGATCCCAGAGACGAACAGTACCATCGTTGGAGCCAGAGAGCTGTTGGAAAAGTGATGAGGGGCAGAGAGAGAAGTCAGAAATGCAGAGAGAAAGATCTCTAGTTTAAAAATATACCAGACTGCAAAACAAACAAACTGATGGATCATCGAACAAATCAACCCAGAATTCTCACTTGAGGCACAAATGACCAGGCTCAAATTATCCTACTTTGGACACATTATGAGAAGATCCAGGTCTCTGGAGAAAGCTGTGAGGCTGGGAAAGGTGGAAGGAAAGAGAAGAAGAGGACAACCAGCAGCAAGGTAGATGGTCTCAGTTACAGCAGTGATGGGTACACCATTGGAAGACCTGAAAGATCAGGTTGGAGACAGATTGTCATGTCTCCAACTATCTATATGGTCATTAAGAGTCGACAGTGACTTGATGGCACATAATCAATCAATCAATCAATCAATCAATTAAAAGTTATGCTATTGCCCCATGAAGATTATTCAGCTACTGGGGGCCAGTGACCACACTGGAAATGTTGAGAGCATTCGGTAGATGCTCAAAGGAAATAGATGCCTTAAGATACCTTATCACAAAATGGCTGCCAGAGCTGATGTGGCCCAGAAACAAAACACTAAGTGTCTAGAAGGGAAAGTAATACTTTCCTGCTTTCTCTAACTCTGCAGGAGATTCACTGTTATTTTCACTTAGATTATTGTACCTTTGTCCTTTTCCCTGGAAAGGGAGATACAGTCCTGCTATGTATGCACTTAACCACCTCCTCTTGGGTCTGAATATATGTACTAATTTCCTTCCTTTTCAGCCTTGTATACTTCCATTTTCCTCTGTTTTACTTACATCTGACTGCTGGCCTTATGGCCATAATAAAGGTTTGATGGGATCTGAACAACGATAAAATCTAACGCTTTGACCAACAGCTCCAGAATGAATGCCAACAACTGACTAGGCCTGGAGGTAACCATGGCAAAACCCAGCCATCCAGCAGGTATTAATGGTAAGGAAGTTCTGCCTCTTTGAATGAATCAAAGGAAAGCTCCTGCCTGCCACACACTGGATTTTCCTACTGATTTGGGGATATCAACCTAAATTCACAACAATGGACTTGCAAATGCCAGGTCAACGGCCAGGTGGTGGATCCTCCTCTTTGGCCAGTGATGGAAACTAACTCATCCCCTTCTCTGCCCTGCAGATTCTCCTGCTCAGGAGCCCAGAAGTGCATGCTCTGTCCAGTTCTCCAAACTCACCAACATGGTGCCAATCCAAGCACAGGTGGAAATCCAGTCCTGGTGGCAGAAAAGCAGGGAGCGCAAGAGAGAGGGATTCTTCTGAAGAGGGTCCCTTACATCCCATAGAAACAAGGCCTGAGATTGGGAGAAGACACGTTCAGTACAAAGCAAAGAACTGCAGCAGTTTTTGCCCTATTCCTTTCCTCCCTCTACCTTCCTAGATGCCCATCTGCAAATGCTTTTCATGTGCCAGGAAGATTACTATTTATGCTACAAAGGACTCTAGGGCAGGTGACCAGGTGGGCAAACCACTCCAGCAGATCCTTGTTAGGATACTGAGCCTCACCATAGCACCAACAGTCTTGCACTGGAGTGTCAGGAGGCAGATTGGGTGTGACAGGGAAGTTGTCCCCCAGAAGCTCATCCCATCCTCTTTGGATCATGCTGAAGTTCTTCTGTCCTTGGGCCAAGGCCATCTGCCAACCTTACCTGGTCTTTGCTTCCAGTAGCAAGATAGCTGCCATCAAGGCTGAAGGCGCAACAGGTCACTCCAGACGTGTGACCACGGAGGATGGAGAGTGGTGAGATGCTGGCGTCCATGGCAGGGCCTAGTCTCAGGGTCTCTGAAAGCCACAGCCCAATGGTGAAATCCTCTGGAAAGAGAAATATATATATGAAAGTAAAGGAGAAGGGAAGTCTACAGGGTTTGAGACTTGGAGGTTAGGGCAATATATGTCTTTTGGTGGTTTCACAGAACATGTGGCAACCTGAACTCCTTCAACATCTCTTCCCTCTAGCCAAACAATCATCTGGATAATGATTTTTTTAACTCAGATATAAACCCATTCCCCTCCTTCTTCCTCAAGTGATATTGTCCTTACAAACACTGCCTCTTTATTGCAAATCTGTGTTGCAGAAACTAAATAAATAAAGGGAGGGTGGACTTAGTAATAAAACATAAATATTCTGAACACACCCAGAGGTACCTTTTGCAAATATTTCATTCTAGTTTCCACAACTGATCTCTGCTCCTGAAAAGGACCTGGCTATGAATTAGGAGGATCAAGCACACCAACTAACTGCCAGGAACAAGAGTAGCCAGCTGTTCTCCCTTTTGTCCCTAATTCAACCACTAACACATCAAGATCCTGCACTATGCTATGACATCTCATTGAAGGACCTGGTGACTTCAAAGAGGCATCATTTTCCATCCCAAATAACCAAGACAGCCCTCGCTATAGCTTCTACCTGAAGTTACCCTTGATTATCATCTATTCTGGCCAGAAGAAAAAGGAAGCCAAGTGGGGATTCCTTAGCTACAGCCTTTGAGACAGGGATCACCAACCGAGTTCTGGAGGAAGCTTCACCCCAGCTTAGGTAGACTGAAACAGCCAGAGTATGATAGTTCTACATGAAATGAGGATCATTAGCACTAGGCAAGGCTTCTCTAAGACTTGGCAACCTGGGGAAATGTTCTCAAGGGAAGAACATTCATTTGAGCCCTCTCTACCCAGGTTCTTTTCATTTAGTCCTACAACAGGGTAATTGTTCCCTCTATTGTTCGTTGCCCATTGAAGTCAATGGCCTCTATTGTTTGTTGCCCATTGAAGTCAATGGTCAAGAACTAAGAGCCCAGGTACCAAAATACAGCAATATGAAATTACTGAGGGATGATATTTTATCTGACTAGTTTTCCTGCCTTAATTTAAATATTCTAATCCATCTGATCATTTCAAATACAGAATCCTGTTTGGGATGGAACCCCTCCATGTGTGAGAAATGCTCCCTCCCCAAAAAGATCATCTTTGGGTAGGAAAATTAAATCTTTGATGGACAGCTAAAAAAACATCCAAGCTGGGATCTTAGAGTAATCAAGTTGCCATCTAAGCCAAAAATAAGCCCACCTGTCCACAATATACCCTCTGCATAACTCAAGTCATCCACCTCTCCAGCAGAACCCTAGAAATAAGGCTTTATGTTACCTATAGAGCCAAGTTCTTCCTTTCTCCCATTATCACACATTTGTAAGTAAAAGTGACAGTATCTGTGTTCTTCAAAAGAAGAAAAGCGAAGCCTCCTTCAGGTCAAGTTCAACTCCTAAGTGACTTTATGGAGTTTTCTTGGAAGTGGTTTACCATCACCGGTATGGGTTTTGACTTCTCAGTCTGGTCTAAAAACCTGGGATTTTCTGATAGTCTGCCATCCAAGTTCTAACGAAGCTGGACCCTACTTAGTTATCAAGCCTAAACAAGGCTAGCCAGATACCGCTACCTGCAATCCCACTGAATCCTACCCAGGAGAGCCTCCCTTTCTTTCCTCATTTATTTCCAGTTCTTGAAGTCCTCAGAGAAACCCCTGACTAGTCCAAACAATTCCCTTTGGACTCACCTGAGGCAGAAGCCACCAGTTTCTTAGATACTGCAAGGCCCATCACAGCTTTATCATGACCCTTGAACTGATGACAGCAGGCAGAGCTACTCTCCAAAGTCTTCCAGACACAAAGGGACCCATCGCCAAGGCCCGCAACCAGAAATACATTGTGTAACCATGCCAGGCTACAGACGGCCACACCGCTTCCTTGGCAGTGAATCTGGCTTGTCTCCAAGCCTACAAGAATGAGAGAACATGCATAGATGAAAGAGATATCTAAGGTTTCATACTGTAATGGCAAGCAACCTCTTTTCAGACTCATGACGCACATTTAGACCCCAATCTGCAATGTGGATCCTATTCTATGCAGTCTTTCCTGATTTTTATTTTCTTTAGAGACCACATACTAGACTGATTAGAGATCTGATACTTTTAACAGATGTGCAGATCAGAAAGACACTCAGTAAAAACCATAAAACAGCATGGAGAGACAACACACAGCTCACAGCAGCTAGAATATCTAAGAAGACCCAGAGATGAGAAAGCCATATATTCTTCTAACAACAGTACTGAGAATGAAAAAGCTATTCTAGATTGGACTGTGAACTTCCCTACTAATATATACAGTCAGGTCCAGAAATATTGGGACATCGACACAATTCTAACAT